TGCTAAAACAAGGTTGAAATTACTCCCTCAATTGGTCCTGGATAAAGAATCCTGTAGTTAGGACCTTGTATTTAGAAAAGTGTTTCCATTTATGACTAAAGGTTTACTTGCTTCTAGGCCTTAGAAACCTTAAATGCATATAAACAGTTTCGTAATTTGAATAACTCATTAGAGCTAGTAAAAAATGTATTATTCTGGAAGAATGGACAGTTCAAAACATGATCCTAAATAGACAGTTCAAAACATGATCCTAAATCACTTTGTAAAACTTTAAATAAAGCTATTAACAGAAAACAGTCCAAAAATAGTTCTATCGATAGTATTCTCGTGAATAATACAAAAATATCGAATCCAATGCTTCAATGACTTTTTTTCTAATATTGCTGGGAATATCAATAGTTCAAATCCTAAAACATCTGCATTACCTGAGTCCTATCTTCAAAATTATCCCGATATTAACTTTGAGTTTGGTTTTTGTAGTACTGAGAAATCGTTGAAATTATTAAATCACTTGAAAATAAAAAAAATTGTAGACATAGATAATCTAAGTTCTAATTTACTTAAAACTGTAGCTTTAGAAATATCTGCTTCGCTATCTAACAAATCCTTAAAATCTGGGGTGGTAAAATAATAGAAAAAATGGTTACTAAGCAATTAAATGAGTATTAAAATATTAATAATCTGCTAAACAAACATCAATATGGGTTTTAGTCTAATAAATCTACTTAATTTTAAAATCATTTAGCAAGAATGCACTAGTTCTGGCCGTGTTTCGGATCCGAGAAAAGTTTTTGACCTGGTTGATCACAATATTCTCTTTTTAAAGCTGGAAGAGTATGGCCTTCGGGGGGAAGCACTAAATTGGTTTAAGAGCTATTTAAAGGACAGAGTCCAGTATGTTATGGTAAATGGTTCACTTTCAGAGTTTTATACATTATTAAATATTGCTGATCCCCAGGGTTCTATTCTTGGTCCTTTATTATTCCTCATTTATTTTAATGATTTGTTCAATTGCAATAATGGATTTAACATACTGTTTGCTGATGACACCATAGCACTTGCAAAAGGAAAAAATATTGAGGATCTCTCTAATCTTATAAATATTGAATTACAAAAACTGGGTACATAGTTAAGAACTATTAAACTAGCTGTCAATACTGATAAATGTTCCCGATGACATGGTTCTTTCATTTAATAATAATGATAATGGTTTGTCTAATATTCCGGAATTTATCTATCCCATTGAAAGAATTCTTCTAAAATTCCAGCTTTTAAAATATTGGGGTTTATCTTCCATTATCTTCCATTCGATTACCATTTTAAACACTTGTATTTAAAAATATCCAAATCTTTGTATTATTTATGCAACGCTAAACATTTCCTGTCTACTCTCTTATTCACCCTCTAATGTACTGTTTACCAATTATCAGCTGCACTAGCCAAACAAATTTTAATTTAACCAAGTTCATGTTCATGATTATATACTTATAGATTTTTTCATACCTCTTGCAAACACCGAGTTTTTAAAGCGTTTTCCTTTTTATTCCTTCCCATTATCTTGGAAAAATTTACCCAACCATCTCAAAGATATTTCTTCAAAAAACTTTTTCGCATTAACCCTAAACAACATTTGATTCAAACTTGTCAAAAATTTCAATTTAATCGTCTTTTCTGTTATGTCTGCTCAAATGTTTAAAAAGATCTGATTTATCTTAGTGGTGGTTAACTAGGTGGTTAACTATCTAGGTGGTTAACTATCTAGGTGGTTAACTATCTAGGTGGTTAACTATCTAGGTGGTTAACTATCTAGGTGGTTAAGTTTAGAAGGCACGGTTAGAACAGTCTCTTGGCTTCCCATGCTCTCTTCGGCACTTCTGTTTAAATATATTTACAAAGGAATTGAGTCTGTGCCACAAACTCGGATTTTTAAATTCTAATTTCTTTAAAACCGAATGCCGTAGATGCTTGATATTTCAAACTATGAATTCTGGTGGATGAAACAATTTAAGTTTGAAATATGAAAGGTATGCATCATCTGGTTGTTGAGATTTAGGTATTATAAAATTGGCATTTGTGGCAAAAACTCAAATCCTTTTGTTCTTAATTTTAATAAATTATATTTGATTTGATTTGACCATCTGAAGAAATTAGACACAACCTAACCTAAAGATAGTTTAGAGGTATCATTCTGGGACTAATTTACTCTAAACGCCTGGAGTAATAAGTCAAACCCTAATGTTAGCTGAGCTTAAGAATGGATAAACTCTAAGAAATTTATTGATATTTTAGTAATAACCTTGTATGCAAGTTTAGAGATCTGAGCTTGGGGAAATCCGTCCCAGACTGAGCCTTCTACACCAACATTTGATAAATGCTAATCTCTCTAGGCTATATTTTAGATTAAATCATGTATCCAGTATTTTTTATTTAGTATCCTATATGCTATATCCAGTATCCAGTAGATATGGGCTACGTTTTTATGAACGAATTTTTTTTTTGAGAACGAACGAAATTTGTCGTGAACGATGGTGTCTTTCATATAAAAATAGCCATGGACAAACAATTGGTTGTTGACGAACAATGAACAAACAAAATGAAAAAAACCGAACGCGCCCAATACTAATATGTATGGACAGGAGGGGGTATTTACACTATTCAGTACAAAATATGTTAAAGGTATACCAAAGGTTGTATATTCCAAAATAAAACAATCATAAAACAAATCATAAAAAATCATAAAACAATCAGTTTGAAGATTTAACATTTTCAAAAAAGAACATTTTTGATGCTTTCCAACAGTTGAATTGTATTTAAGATATTTCCAAGGGTGGATTTATGCTGGGTTACGCAAAGCAACCAAATTTACACTTTAAAGTATCTTTTTTGTCCAAATTAATAATATATATAACATACAGGTAAAGACACTAACTTCAACTTCTTATATCTCTTGTTTTAGTTCATGACAAGTTGTAAACATAATAACTATTATTACGTTATCATATTGTATGATTAGTGCAAGTTTATATTAGATGACTTCTGTTTATTGCATTATTATTGAATTTATTAAATACATATTGCAAATGCATACACATATGTCTCTAAAAAAAAGAATTAAAATGTGATTTCCACGGTTTAAATATTTATAAGGTGTGGATTATTGTTGAGGAGAGGAGAGGGGGGGCCCGGGGGAGGGGTGGTTGTGTGAGATGATAGATCGGAGTTAATGGTTAAATGAGAGACTGGTTAAGAGAACTATGTTGGAAAATCGATATCAACTAATAATATTGACAGAAATAAGTTAGACGTTAGACACATTGTTGGTATTCTCGAGGTTATATCTATTGGTTTACTGAAGTGATACATCATTTGTTCTAAAATTGTTTGGGAAATTGATGTTTCCTATACAGGACTAATGATTCGTTGGATAGATTTTAAAGCATCGATTAATTATTCTGGTATTTTTATCAACACTAGAAATTCAAGGCGCTTCGCGCCCTTAATTCTTTCTAGCCTTAGAGGGCGCTTCGCGCCCATCTTCTAAATTAATTGTAAACATGTTCTCTTTGTGTACATCGTAAAACAAAACAAAAATAATTCGCGGATTTTCACAAAAAATTTCGCGGATTTTCAAAATTTTTAAAAATTTAATGACGATCGAATTTTGATGGAGACAAATATTTGAAATTTTGATTTTTCATAAACCTTCCCTGGGGTCCCTAGATGTCCCACAAAAAATTTGGGCCCGATCGGTTCAGCCGTTTTGACGTTTATTGGATACAAACAGACAGACATACAAACAAACAAACAGACAGACAGACAAGCCAAATTTATATATATCAACATATACGTATTTCATACATACATACAAACAAGGTAATATGGAAAGGAAGGAAAGTTAATTGTTTTTGTGTATTCTCTGCGTACATATTGAAAACAGTTCTCTCTGGGCTCAGTGTTCCTTTCGTATTCGAGGAGGATAAAAACATTTAATTTTGATAATTTTGATAATAGTTTCCTTTAACCAGACTATTTCATTTAAAAATTCGGTGATGGTGATGGACCAAACCTCTGTAGAGTAAAAAAGAATATGTTAGTTAGTTAGTTAAAAATATGTTTCGGTCTGGGTTGACCCTCGTCAGTTCTAGCGATATAATAACCATCAAAATCTAAAAAAAAATTAAAAATTGTTAAAACCCACAAGAAAATAAACAAACAAAAAAGATTAAGTAAAATGGACATAAGGGAAACGAACTTAGATTAGCAGATGGAAAAAATAATTTTCAAATATTTACTTTAAAAAAAATGTTTTAAGACAATTATTAATCCTTGAGATTGTTTCTGTCATTATTTAATAGATTTTTTGTGAAAGATGGAACCCATGTCAGGCTGTGACATCCGTCTTGTGCTTACTTTACAGCCCAAAGCCTATCTTAACATTATAATTCGTTGCATACAAAGAGGTTGTATCTTTTGAGTGTGTATCGGTTATCTGGCTGTTTGTCTGTTTTTAAGTATGAAACACTAGTTGTATATGGAATATTATTCTGTACCTACTTACTAGTGACTATACCCATAATCTCTATGAACTATTAAGCTCATGTATTCCACTTCAACTGTTATAAATGATATTTTACAATCAGAACCAGGCGTGATAGTTATTCTGAAGTAATAATAGGAAATAATCCAGACTTTAGTTCTGCTTCTTATAGTTATCTTATAGTTGCGAATGAAAAATTGTAATTCTGAGTTAAGATTAAAGAACCATAAATCCAATTCCAATATGATGATTATAAGGTTATTGATACTGGTTTCACACAGATCTCACGTTTTTCGTGAGTTTTTGAGAAAATTGTGTGCCAAAGATCTAATGTGCATGCCGTTGTTCAAGTTATTGGTATTCTAAAGTTTTTGTCAGAATTCAGAATTAAAGTAATGCATAGAGTTGCATAAAGTTCTGTTTCATGAATATTTTGTTCATCTAACAATAGGAAATCGTATACGTATAAATATAAAATTGATTTTAAATGTTACATTTATTTGAATAATATGAGTCACGGCCCTTTCCATTTAATCCTGAATTCCCCCTTGGTTACAGGTATATATTAAACCTCTAACTAGACTGCCTCGTATATAGACCGCCGGGTCTACGTATCCTTATATCGGTGTTGTACGGCCTCAACACCGGTTAATGGAATCCATCCCTCTCGGAGGCCGACCTAACCACGAAGAGTGGAGGTAGAAGTAGAACTATGAAACTGGTTAGTTACCGGGAAAGTCAGGAACCGGAAGGAAGGAAGTTAAACGTTTAAGCATACACCGGAACTCTTTTGACAATTCAATTCCTGTTTCTAATAAAAGAACAATATAAGTGAGTTAAATAACCAAGATGGTAAGATTTTTCTAAATATCATTTATTTTTTATTTTGTAGTTTATCAACTGACCCAGGGTAAATTTTTCTTAACGAGACAGATTCTATAAATATCGGTTTAATGATATAATTTTTATGAATTTTTAAGATTTTTTAGAAATTATATTTGCCGGTTTATTAGGTTTGTATGAAGTGAAGGAAAAATGAGACAGCTCCCAAGTGTACCCTGAGTAATGTTGAATCATGAACTCCAATACTGCCCTCGCCCTCATTCTTTACACCCTCATTACAGGTTATTTATTTAATATTTGTTCATTTATTCGGCTTTTATTTATTTATTTTTTATACAAAGCTATGGTCTGTTTTATTTTTTTTCATGGTTATTTTTCCTATTTATTCATTTTACTATATATAGATTTTAGGTCTTGATTAAGCTTGATTCGTTTTAAAGTTTCAAATAGCATTCAAACAATAGAAATACTACAATAGATACAGGATGTCTCAGAAAACATGAAAGTTGGTGAATAGTTTTCAATGTCGTCTTCCATGGTACTGTATTAGTTATTTCAGACTTTTTGCAGTTTATTTCGTTAAACAAATCTTTTACCCAAATATTTATTTGTTTGAAATCAATTCTACTATAATAATACTGCCATTTAGTATTTCTTATCATCATCTTTGGTATCAAACAACTTATCAAATTATGAAAGAAGACATTTTAAACTATTCACCAACTGTCATGTTTCGTGGGACACCCTGCTCTTTAATTTGTTTGTTATGCTCTTATTAAGTATTGTATTTGTAAACATACGTAGTATTCATGGCAAAGTGTATATTGTTTTACACACCGTAAAAACGCGCTGTTCGTCTGGGATTAACCTTATTCATGCTGAGGGGTGGGGTGGGGGGGGGGGGGGACAATTCGAACCCCCTGTAGTTTTTTACATAACTCAAAAAGTATTGGTGTTCTTTTCAGACTTTTCATAAATACACATAGCCCTTCCATTAAGTCTAAAACCGGGCTTTATACTAACTGCCTGAGTCTTCAGGTACACAGCCTGAATAACTACTTTTTCCTGTAACAAACTAAGTCTTTGTTTTGACCCACTTTAAGTTGTCAGATTTTGATAATTTTTTATTTTTTTTGGAAACAGATTTCACAAGTTTGCAAAGAAAATGTTGCAAACTATTTGCATACAAGGAAACGGATTGCATAAGTTTGTAAAGAAAATGTTGCAAATTATTTGCATGCAACCCGTCGAAGGAAATTTGCAAATTTTTAGTTTTTATTAATTACACATCAGGTTATTAAAGATTTTGCTAATTTTTTTTGCATATTTGAAATTGCATTTGCAAACTGTATCTTTTATAATTTTTTGGAAATTTTTTTTCAAACCGTTTTTCTTTATAACTGGATTTTGCAAAAAAATTTTGGACATCAAATATGGGATTTAGAGGGGGGCAAATTGACCTCCTCCCCTAGCGTATCCTGATTTTCAAGTACCCCAGTGCGCAGGCGTGCCATATCTGTTTTAAGATTTGTGGATTTCCAAGTCAGCATCAATCGTTTACTGTCTGAAAATCTCGAAAAAGTTCACATCACCTTTCTGGACTAAAAAAAAAATGCGACAAAAATTTGTGCATGGAAATCTTAATATTGTATAATGGCTTTATTATAATTAATGGGATTAATTGTAAAGCTCTGTGTCAAAATCTCTGAAAAACCGCTAGAATTGCTGTAAATCGTGGTGTACAGTACACTAATTTCATTAGAAGGGAGTCATTCATTTGACGTACAGTCCCGTTTTGCCTCATATAGCCTGTATTTGTACTGTACTTCTTGCCCAGGCTAGTTTAAATTCGGGCCGGTACATGAAATGAACTGGAATGTACCATGAGTATGAGCCCAACTCAGCTGATGCGTTACTTGTGTTCCTTGACAATACCGAATATTTTGCATTAAAAGCGATAATTCGAAAGAAAATATTAAATTTCTGCTAATTCTTGAAAGTGCATATTTTTTAAAACTTAAAATAAGAAAAGAACTTCAAAAATAAAGGTGTATTTGATTATATTTCAGGGGAAATGTGACCATTCTCCTTTAAGGGTGTTAGATTCCTTGTAAATGGAAAATTTTAATGCTGTTAAAGTTTCTTATCCGGGAGTAATTAGTAAATTTTTAGTTCAAACTTTAAAGTAATTTGAAAGATTATACATCATTTTGTTTAACAGTTTTGTTTAATGATAAAGAATTTTATGATAGAGAAAAAGTGCAAAATCACTTTATAACTTAATTAGAATCCATAAATATATTCAGTTTGATTTAACGTTCATTTTTTTCTTTGTCTCTTTTAGTCTAATTTGAGAATCACAACTATTATTATTTACAAAACATGACAAAAAGAATAAAAAAAGGTTGTTAGATGACAGGTTCTTTGTTTTCTACTCTATAGAAACTATAGATACAGTAAAAACAGAAAAAAAGATAGGGAATGAAATCTGCAGCACACTGACCGAAGAAATAGTAGGTTTAAGTGGAGAGTGTAACTTCTAGGAATCGCTTCAATCAGTTATTTTAAAATATTTCAAACAAATTCTTTTTCATTCATCATATCTCTGGTTTTATAAACCATGACCTCAATATATTTATTAATGGCTGCAACTTATTGTATTAAATCACATAAATTTGTCTTTGGCTGCATTTAACCTACTTAGCTCGGGACACTTAAAACTTTCAAGGTAAACCAAGAAATAACTGAAGTTGAACAATTTTTGTTCCACATTTGATCCATACATTAAACAAATTCATTGGTAAATTCAGTGTTGATTTAAAAAACATGCTGGAGGTGTGAATATTGTGGCAGAAATTAAAAGTTTCTATTCTCTCAGGAGAAAAGTTTGGTTTAGTTGTTTCAAAGTGAAGGATGACATCGAGTGTGAAATGATAAAATAATTTAAAAGAGTCCTTTCTGAAGTCAGATGTAAAGATCAAAGGATAAAAAGATGAAAAAGAAATTTGGTTTGAGAAAGGAGTGAACAAAATTTTAAGAATCTAAAATTTAGAACAATACAAATCTTTTGGTTTCAAAGGTAAAATATAATAATATCACGCTTATTTGAATTTTAAGAAAACGGTTTATGATGATAAAAGATGTACGCGACAGTTTTTTTTTTCCCCATTTTCAGATGTATGTAGAAAGGTTGATTATAATAATATTTTAGGATGTCACACACAGTCTTGTTCTTCCCCTCTTGGACTTGAGGATCGCACAATTCCGAACCTTCAAATATCTTCATCTTTACCCCTTTCTCAACCTAGTAATGCTCGGCTTAATAATCCTGATTCTGCTTGGTGTTTTAACTACACAGAGGTTAGTTTTTCTCCATCTAGTTTTTCTAAGCTCGGGAAGATCCTTTTTTTTAGCTAAATGTGAGAGACATATACGGGTTCTACAGATTATATACCTAAGAAAAAAAGACAAAAAAAATGTTTAATGGTAATATTCAGTTTTTAGGCAACATTTAGCCTTTTAAGAAAAAGTTTAAAAGATACATTTTCTCACTGTTTGGAGAAAATTACCACGAATCCGTGTTTAGATTACAGGATTTGGAATATATGCTGAGCTGACTGTAGATCTTGGTTCTACGCAGCTTGTGTCAGGTTTCCAGAGCCAGGGACCACCAGACATACTTCATCCTGTAGAGTACATGCGGTACATTAGCATTTCCGCCACACTTAGTAATGACAACCAGAATTGGAAGGTAAACTAAAGCTTACACGGAAGGAATTATAATCTGCCATTATATCATTCATTTCATTCATTTGTAAATTCATATTTCAATTACCTCCACCCCCCACCCTTCACAATTTACGAAAGTGGATTTATGATAAAATGGTTTGGTACACAATCATCTCAGTCAATGAACAAATATTATGCAAAATGTAAAGTGTTAAAAATTGGGCTAAAAATGTAAACCTAAAAAGTTTCTTTTGCTCAAGATTCTTTTACTTAAAAGATTTAGATAATAGTCTCTTTTCTTTTTATAAATTGTACCTATTTAATATAATGATGGTAGGTTTATGAGGTATTTTACTTTTCTTATAAATTAAATAAATATATTGTATACCATCAGATGCAACAGTTTTCATTTGAACCAAAAATTTTATTGCAAAAGTTAAAATATAATAGCACAACTGGAATGTCAAAGTTTGAAAAATATCCTTTTTTAGAATTCTTGGGGTGTTTTTTATTTATATTTTTGACTTTTACATGTTTGTGTCAGTTAAACTTTTCCAGCTCTATTCTATTATTTAAATCATAAAACTTAAATTCTTTTCTTTTCAAATTTTATTTCTTCCTGTGAACAAAATTATACCAAATTTTATTTTATCGTTAACACTTTTGACATAAAAAATTATTTTAAAACAACAATTATACAATCAATTTTATTCTAATCTTAATGATAAATACAAAGATGTTTAAATGAAAGCCATTAGTTCATTAGAAATGCATACTCAAACCTGTTGAGTTTTACCATTTCGTGTGTTTTATTCAATAAAACCTTTTAACTTGTTAACAAAATAGTTTTTGTAAATCTAGGACTGCTGTAGCGATGATGGAAGTGCTACTAGTTTTTACGCAGAGGATAAGAATGACGAAGCGAATGTCATTCGAACCCACGGGTTTGGAAGTCTAGAACCTGCAAGGTTTGTAAGGTTCAAGGTGTCTACTGATCTCCGATGGTTTGGGCATGATGAAAAATGTTTCCGGTTTGAGATCCTTGGCTGCAAACAAGACGTAGTTGCAAATAGTGAACTGTTTACTAAAGCCGAAGCCCCTGGTTATTTAACAGTATCTTGGCTACGTCCTATAGTATCTATACCAAATAAAGACAACTTTTCTCTCAACGGACACTACTACCTACTCAATCTGACTCACGATGAAGGTGATACAACCAAGTCGGAGATTCATAACACAACGGATACAAGTTTTGCTGTACCCAGTCCTCTCTGGGGTTCGCGGTATACTATATCTCTGGTCTGCTGGCATCATCATCTACCTGTAAAATGCGGAGTCTCGTACCTTACCGCTGTTCCTCAAATATCATCATCCTGTAGAGCCCACTCCTCCTTCTGTCAGGAGGAGGAGAGGATAAGGTTCGTATCTCCGGAGTATTTGACCGCTAAGCTACTGATAAATAACAGTGTTCACGTAAAGTGGAGGCTTGGAGAGCGTGGATGGAGAGCTCCATCACGATTAGTTCGAGTGGAACAGAAGACTGGAGAAAGAATTTATGAAAAAGAATCCTTACTAGAGGACCAGCAAATATTTCTTGAAAATCTGAACAAATTAGAATCATATAGCCTTGTCTTCTGTCCTAATGGAGACGGGGTTCCATCTGAGATTGGTTCAGTTCGTCTAGAATTATCAATCCTCCCACTTCGGGAACCAGGAGATTGGGGAGCTTTCATATCGGACGTAAGTCTCCAGGCCAGCGTGGACTGGAGGGGATCCATAGTTGTTGAGTGGAGAGAGGGTCGAGCTACAGGATCTTTTCAGGAGAATGATATGGTTCAATTCAAGTATAAAACTGCGGATAGTTACAAACTAACCCTGAGAATAGGAGAAGGTGAAAACTATGTTACTTCTATTAATAAACTTTCCTCTCAGCTTTTCTATTTCATAAAGTAAACATTTCAGTATAAAATAGTAAAACAAATTTACTCGTAAGATTAATGAATCCGAAAACTATGTTGGTTCTGTATATATAATCTTGATTTTTTCAGATCAACCATTTTAATATTTATTTTTCTTTAGATCCCACATACCTTTCTACATTAGAACTATCCGGAAATACGACCATGTACTCGTTAACAGGCTTGAACCTAGAGCAATTGTACACAATTACTCTAACCTGTACTTTTGATGGTATACTATTCGAATGCGGAACTAGGTAATTACAATAAACTGGGGATTTTTATAATATTGATTTAAAAAAAAGTTTTATCATCTGAACTAGGGGTTTCCGTATCTTTGATGAAGGACCTCTCTTTTCGATACAATGTCCTTTACATTAGTATTAGCTGTTATTTAATATAAAAAAAATTAAAAAGGAGTTTGGGCAGCACCATACAATAATATTGTGTATTGATATAAGTGCAACTTTGAATTCTTTAACTAGTTTTGTTTGCAAAATTGTTACTTATTATACATTTAGATTTGTTTCTACCAGGTCCCCAGACCTACTTTTTGATGGGGTTGTATACAGGTCAGTATCTGAATGCGTAAATTTTTGTATTGTTAATTTCGTTTCTTGTTGAGCTTTCTTTGATGATATTCGCAATATTAGGATCGGCATTAATGGATCGGCATTAAAAGAAAGAAGATCGTTAATACATTAAAGTCCCACAATCTTATTTGTATTTGATGTTGTTAAAAAGCAAAAAGTTGTATAAATATCTTGAAAATCTACTTATTAATTGAAATTAGGTTATGTACACTACACAATTAATGTGCTTTATGTTCCTTGTGATATTCAAAATCATATTTTTAGTCAAGGAATCGTCTCCCTGTTCCACAGTTTTATGGGTCTCACTGTATAAGATTTTATTTTTAATAACTAAGATTAAAAACTAAAATAATCAACCAAGAAAAGAAAGACATAAACAAACTATTGTTTCTTACAGGAGGATGGGGATAGCTCAAGGTTGGAGGTCTAGTCTACTAGAATGTGAGGCTGGTGGAGGTACTCTACTCAGCCTTGGTAGAGAAGGAGTAGAAAATGCAGTTGCAGAGGCCATTGGTCTTTCAGACTTCTGGACAGGTCGGGACTTAATTAGTTCCTGGATTCTAGTTCCTAGCCAGTTCCTTGTTCCTAGTTCCTGGATTCTAGTTCCTAGCCAGTTCCTTGTTCCTAGTTCCTAGCCAGTTCCTTGTTCCTAGTTCCTGGATTCTAGTTCCTAGCCAGTTCCTTGTTCCTTGTTCCTGGATTCTAGTTCCTAGCCAGTTCCTTGTTCCTAATTCCTGGCTCATGAATCCTAGTTATTCCTGACTTCCTGTTTCTGCGATTAATATATCCATATTTTTAATTTTCACTTACCTTTACTTTTTATTGCTTAAAGGGAGTGACCTGCTGGATAATGGTAGTTCAGCTGAGAGTGCAGTATTTTAGAATAATAATTTAGGATTCATTTGACACCAATAAGACTTTTTTAAGGCTTATAATTGCTTAGTAAGAGCGCAAAATTTTTTTTTTAAATACTAAAAATGTAACAAAATTCTACAGTAAACTTATCAGTTGTTCAGGAACAGGTTGAGAAAATAAAAATTAACTCTTATCATTAAAACTATTAAGTAATCTTATTTAGTAATCGGTTTCTGTAATGTCTTATTGTTCACAAACGTTTTACGTGATTTTCTAGAATTTTTATTGAATAGACGACATTTAAAGAAATCTACGAAAAAATCATATAGAATTAGAAATGCAATATAATGATGATAAAAAAATGATTGCTTCTAACATTGATTTATTCACAAATTTCTATTGAGAAATATGTTCCTAAAATTACTGTATATAATACTGCAGTCTCAGCTCAACTACCATATCTAGCCGGTCACTCCCTTTAATCTTTAAATTTTTCTTGTTTCCTTTTAATTCAAATTAAATTTGTAAGCCTTCGATCACTAACAATTCCATTTCTTAGAATTAAAGCAATATTTATATATCTGTTAAGGTGGGAATATGTGTCCCGATAGTCCCGCTCCGAGTTCTAGTATGTGGACGGATGGGACGGAAAACCAACGCTCAAACTTTGCTCTGGACTCAGGTTACACTTGTCAAATTTTGTAGAGTTGACTAATAGTTAAAATCTAGATACAAATTGGGATTCTTATTTCGACTAGTTAAGGAGCAGAAATAGGATAATATCATGAATTTATACTTAGAAAATAGATTTGTGTATTTATGTGCAATTGTTTAAAATAAACTTGCTGGGTTACCAAAAAGTCTCTTTAAATACTTGCCAAAGGTTAAATTTGTTCTAATGTGTTTAATATATTGTTTTCATGGCATATGTTTTTAATAATTTGTCAAAAAAAATGTACTTTGGAGGGTAACCCCTAATTTACAATCTACATAAAGTAATAAAAACTATAAATAAAAAGAATATTTTCTATACACAACTGATTTATTATTTATTTGGTATCTATTTAACCTAATTTCTGGCAGTATTTCATTTATAAATCTGTTCCACTTTCGGGATCGTTCAGGGTCCCCCCCCCCCTCCCGGCCCCTCCGTTGATTAACCAGGACATTGCATGTTTTCTCTCATGCAGGGCAATGCTTAAACTAATTTCGCATTGATGTATGGAAGCTTTGGGGGAGGGAATTTGAAGAATACAAATATAAATATTTGATTAAAATGATTTTTCTTTCCGGCTTTTATTAAAAAACTTTTTCCATATTTACTTTTTTGACAAGATTGAGAGTTTGTTGCTCATTCTTTTCTTGCTCAGAAATATTTAATAATAATTTGATACGTTAAAGCAAAACATTGACTTAAAGTTATTAATCTGAGGTCTAAACATCGGTATTTTCGGAGACTAGAACTCGAATGAAAAGAAGATGAAGTTTAGATTGAGAAAAATGTTGCTTTATTTGTTTAAATGGCAAAACAGAAAATCAATGTTGGAATTTTGTGGCATCTTCAATTCTCGTACTTTGTGAAATTAAACAAAAACAACTTAACCCTATCCCTGCTGGGGTACTTGAAAACCAGGATACGCTAGCTGGGAGGGGGGGGGTCAATTTGACCCCCCCCTCTAAATCCCATGTTTTATGTCCAAATATGACAAATGATAAATCATTAGAAAGCTCTTGTGCTCTACTTTTAGAATCTGCAAAAAAATTTGCAAATTTGCGAAAATTGAATTTTTTATCGCAAAATCCAGTTTTATAGTAAAAATGTGTGCAAAAAAAAATTTGTCCAAAAAATGAAAAATTATACATTTTTGAAAAGCCCTTAACCATGCCATTTCAAATATGCAAAAAGCAGTCATTCAGGCAGTGTGCCTGAGGACTCAGGCAGTTAGTATTAAAGCCCGGTTTTAGGCCTAAAGGGAGTGCTTTGGGTATGTAAGAAAAGTCAGAAAGTTTCAACAGCCTCAGACCAATACTTTTTGAGTTATGTAAAAAAAAACTATAGGGGGGGGTCAAATTGACCCCCCCCCCAGCAGGAATAGGGTTAATAGGGTTAACTTAGTCCTTTATAATAATTTAATACAGGGTTACTCGCAAAGGATGAGACTGTAAAGACGATCTGTAACTCTTTTAACATTAGGATTTCAATGTTAAAGGAATTGAGTCTTTGCAACAAATCCTAATTTTCTAATACCTATATATTATGTAAACCTTTGATATTTCAAACTTTGATTGTTTGATATAACTGAAGTCATAGTTTGAAATATCTAAGGTCTACAACATTGGATATAAGATATAAGATATAGGGATTTAAAAATCAGAGTTTGTGGCAAAGACTCAATTCCTTTATTCTTCTGCCTGAAGTTTAGTCTTTTAATTGATTATTATATGATTTAGCAAAGGCAGAAAGAAGTTTACAGTTATAGGGAATCATGATCGTAATTGGATACAGATAGTATAAATTCCGCACAGTCGTCTCTGAAATCTCATCCTTTGTGGGTAACCCTGTAGTTTTTGTAATTATTTATTAAATAATTTATTAAATTTCATCAATTTAACCTTTAACCTTTAAGGTTTGGAGGGGTCCAGCTGCTGTATAAAGGCAGGTAGATTAGGTTGGAGGGGTGATATTTGTTCCTCTCTTCACCATGGTGTTTGTCAACAAGAAGTTCTCCACCCCCTCGCCAAACCCCAGCATGTAGTAGCTCAAGCTGAGAGGGAAGGGATGCACATTAGGTAAGGTATATCGATGAATCTGGGTTGGATTAATGATTTGACGGGAAATTGAATGGTTTATCTTGTCAAAATTTAGACACTACGCTTTTTTAAACAAGTTTTCAAGTATCCTCGGTAATAAATATTAAATTCTACTGAGCATTTTTATTACATTGAGTTTTACTTAAACGCTGGGATCTGTATTTCAGACTGTAATGGGGGTTTCCGTTCAGAGACCAATAGACCCTTTAATCAGAATTGTTGAGGACAGCATTGAAACCGCAAACCTAGATTACTTTGGATTTAAATAAAGTGGAAATTTGTGTACCTTTCTGTTTTGAGATTTTAAACCTATTTGAAATGTTAGTTCAGTATAATTATAATAATTTGATTTCTATTTATTTCGAAATTAAAAAATACATTTGGCGTTTTAATAGATTTTTTTATTTGTTTAAGCCTCTAGCATATTTATTCAAAAATAGAAAAGTTTTAAAGAAAAACTTTGTTATTAAATCTTTATTCTTATTTTAAAGATGGAAGAAGCCTAATGAGGGTTGGATGCCTTCTGCTTGGACCCTTCAATATTGTTTATTAAGGTAGAAACAAAATAATTTGATAATAATTTTCTTATCTCATAAATTTTAATGTGGCTACTCTATAAATTACTGACAGCAACTCTCCAAGTCTGAGATAGATCAATCAGCTATATAATTTTACGAAAAACTTTGGATATAAAAGTAATAGTTTGGTCCTAATGTATCCAGTTTTTTTCAAGGAGTTTGGACACAAGAAAGTTGGAGGAGTGGGTTCTAATGGATCAAGGGGACGACGAAGATAATACAGGTTTTCTCAGAGAAGAATGTAGAAACGAGACTTTATCATCTGCATCTGTGGATATTTTTCTAGACAGGTTTTTTTTCTTTTTTATCTTTATTTTAAATCAGAGTTAAGTTATCTTCGGTTAAGATTAAGAACGATACCTACTCCTTAAAGGGACTGTAAAGGAAAAATGAAAGGGGGTATAGGATGAAACCTGAGAATTTCAGACGTTAAACAATACATATAAAACATCTATCTGATGTTTCTGTATCGAGAAATTGATATAAAACTGTGTAAAATTTATACGAAAATTCATATATATATGTAATTTTGTATAAAAGTTGTAGTATTAAACAGATGATATTCATCAAATACTCAACCTATCTGAAAACGACGATATTCCACAGGAGTCTGAGAATCTCAGGTTTGCTCCTATTTTATATTTTGCATTTTTAATAGATTGATAATATAATTACATATAGTTTGTATAGTCCGTTTTACGTCAACAAAACAGTATCATTGTCATGTATCATTGTCATGTAATACAGACGGAAATCACGTGACCAATATACTGCACTGCCATTGGCTTTAGTTCTGGTGACGTAATACGGACTATACGGACTATAAGTAATTATATTATCAATTATATCTATTAAAAATGCAAAAAATATAATAGGAGCAAGCCTGATATTCTCTGGCTTTTGTGGGATATCATCGTTTTCAGATTGGTTGCGTATTTGTTGAAAGTCATCTGTTTAATACTACAACTTTTATACAAAATTGCATATATATATATGAATTTTCGTATATATTTGACACAGTTTTATATCAATTTCTCGACACAGGAACATCAGATAGATGTCTTATATGTATCGTTCAACTCCTGAGATTCTCAGGTTTCAGCCTATACCCCCTTTCATTTTTCCTTTACAGTCCCTGTAAACCAGTATTTGAGATTTATACAAGAGCAGAGAAAGTTTCGTTTTTCTATAAAAAAGTACATCTTGCAACAACCAAAACAATAGTAGAGATTATTCGTACACCACGCCATTCTTTCTTCGTGTCAATCGTAGTTTTGATTGAAGAATTTCCACAATCTCTTTAAATCTACAATTTGTTTTAATAAGTTTATTCTTGGTTTGTTTACATGAAGCTCTCTATTCAAGATTTATTAACTTGATGGATACAAACACTTTTCTGATCTCTTCAAGTTCACTTCACATAGAATATATATATCTTTCAAGATGCAATTTCAAAAAGTTATAAAATTTCCAATTTTTTTTCCGAATTCATGAATACCTTATTTATGAAAACCCTATTCATGAGAATCTTGCTGTTTAAAACCCCTCTTAACGAAACCACCATTTATGAACATCAAATTTACAAAAACCATATTCATTAAACTCATTTTAATGTAAACTTTATGATACATTTATACTTTCTCTGTTTGCGGTTCTATCTCTTTAAACCTTGTTTTTTCAGGTTGATCGAGTACAGCGAGTATAAAATTATACTTACCGCTCATAATGAGTTTTTTAATTCAACTGAAAGCTCCCCAACCTTAGCTAGAACACGTGAGTAATGAATAAATAGAGATAAAAACACCAAACCATTAGCCAATTTTACTCGTATGTTTAGTTTCTAAGTCTCCTGTATGGTGGAGTTTAACAAAGGATGGAGTAATGGAGGTGGAGTGGAGGGATCAAATCTCCAAGTTCAACGATAACTACACAATCAACCTCAGCTGGAAAATTAGAAATTCGGAATTCATGTAAGAAGTAATTTCGTTTCAAGTGTTTGTTTATATTCCTCACAACAACAACTGCATAACTCCCAGAGTACTTATGTAAATGGTTATCTAAAATGGCATAATAAAAATGGATTCGTAAAAAAACGCAATTATAATGTTGTTTAGAGACGAAGTAGAACTGTCCGGAGAGGTGGAGGGTAAGGTTTCAAGAACAAATCTTCATCAGTTGGTACTGGGAGAAGATTATGATATAAACCTGGTCTTAAACCAACAAAATACATCTACTAATCAATCCTTTTCCTTTACAGCATGTAAGTAGTTAAGCAAATCTATAACTATAACTATAACTATAACTATAACTATAACTATAACTATAACTATAACTATAACTATAACTATAACTATAACTATAACTATAACTACAACTATAACTACAACAACAACAACAACAACTACAACTACAACTACAACTACAACTACAACTACAACTACAACTACAACTACAACTACAACTACAACTACAACTACAACTACAACTATAACTATAATTATGACTATAACTATAAGTATAACTATAACAGTATCTATAACTATGACTATAACTATATCTATAAAGTATAACTATAAATATAACTATAATTTAGTTTTGATTTCACATTAAAAGGTTTATGGAGATGGGAGCTTAAAATTATTAAGTTAATGTGTTAGTATGATTCTCGTAAAACATAAATTTTTATAGCAGTTTTTCCGCTCTGTAGTATTAACAATAAAAAACTCTTACACTTATTTATTTAAGTTTGCTTATATTTCAATCACTAACTGCAAATTGCAATGCCTTGTTTTGAGAACAAAGATATGGGTTCCTAGCCGCAGTGTTTAGAGAAAGTTTAATACTAAATAGTTCAATTTATCTACAGCTTCTTCTTCGAAAATTATTTTTTTTCCTTTTATCGATGTTAAACTTATTTCATAATTTATAAAAGTTTTATGACAGTTCAGATCAATTAATTACGAGGATTCTTTAAACTTTATACAGCTTTCCCTGTGCTATAGGGTAGAGTATTTGTTTATACTTTATGAATAAACTAGCTTAGGAATCCAGAGTAAAGTCATAGTTGGTCCCACCGTTTACACGCTCCTTGTCATAAATTACGATTTTAGATATTTTCCCCGATAAATTTCGACCCACTTAACTTAGAATTTGAGGCAAATCGGTCCAGTGGTTCCCGAGTTCACCCCAGACTAACCAGAGTTTCTTCTATTTGAAATCAAACGTGTTTTGGTCTATAACTCAACAATCTTTTACTTTATGGATTTGTTTATTCTATACATTTTCATTCAAAATGCAGAATGCCGACAAAAAAGTATAAAAAAAAGCTTACACATCATGTTTAATAGGTCAAATTGTGATCGAAAGTCACAGCTTTCTGGAATATGGTCGGACATATGGAATAAGTTATGGTCAGACAAACAAACATACAGAAAAACAGATATTACAACTCAATATATTATAGATGTTAATTTAAGTGCACATAGATAAATTATATAACAAAAGATTTTATTTTACATTCAATAAGTCTCGACTCATTGGATAATATCTAACGTCTAGACACACCAAAACTGTGGTTAAAATATTCTGAGAGTTCCCCACGAAGTTGGTTTGTGGAAAACGAAAGTTTCCGAACATTTCTGTATTCCCCATCATTAATGAACACAAATCAAGGTTAAAGTACTGATACAATAATTGCACAACCATCTAATATCCAGATTTACGTTTGTCGTTTATATTATATTTACCCGCCAAACGATTCCTAGACATACACGTAGATACACTGATACAGGGTCTTTCAAAAAAGCTATTACATTAAATTGCTTTAAATCAAAAGAAAAGTACAAAAGAAATGGCTAAACTTTACATTTCTCCGGCCTACAGATATATGACATTTGGTGAAAAACATCAACAGTCTTCTTTCATCTTTACTTTCACTTTATTCAAACTCTTCTCGAAATAACTCAATTTTACTTTCCGTTACTTTAATATTAAAACTTTTTTCGGTTTTCAGAGAACTCAGAAATCTGATAAATTGTAAAATCTTATTGTCTATACATGTTTGCTTTTATCAAATTATGCAATATTTTGACTCTGGCTAAGATATGTGATATTAACAAAAGAAAAAATAACGATCATCTGTTCGTTAACGGTTTTTTTATTGATGTAAGGATCATAATATTTAATGATTTAAGAATCCTAATGATTTATTATTGAGAGGGTCCTAATGATTCGTGTAAAGATCATAATGATTGATGTAAAAATCCTAATGATTGGTGTAAAGATCATAATGATTGATGTTAGAATCCTAATGATTGATGTTAGCATCATAATGATTGATGTTAGGATCCTAATGATTGATGTTAGCATCATAATGATTGATGTTAGGATCCTAATGATTGATGTAAGGATCATAATGATTGATGTAAGGATCATAATGATTGATGTAAGGATCCTAATGATTGATGTTAGCATCATAATGATTGATGTAAGGATCCTAATGATTGATGTAAGGATCATAATGATTGATGTAAGGATCATAATGATTGACGTTAGGATCCTAATGATTGATGTAAGGATTCTAATGATTGATGTAAGGATCCTAATGATTGATATAAGGATCAAAATGATTGATGTAAGGATCCTGATGATTGATTTCAGGACACTAATAATTGATTTGAGGTTTTCTAATAATTGATTAAAATTTCTATTTCGATATTGCAATTTCTAGTTCCTGATTGTGGTTCCGGGCTGCTTGCCGGACTGTACTGCTACAGTATCCACACCAACCTTACATTCCAAGATGCCCAAGAGCAGTGTTTAAGCCAAGGATTCAGCATATGGAGTTCAGAATACAGGTATATGAATATGGAGTTTAGAACACAGGTATATGTATATTCGGAGTTCAGAATACAAGTTATATGTATATATGGAGTTCAAAATACAAGGTATATGTATATATGGAGTTCAGAATACAGGTATATGTATATATGGAGTTCAGAAGACAGGTATATGTATATATGGAGTTCAGAGTACAGGTATATGTATATATGGAGTTCAGGATACAGGTATATGTACATATGGAGTTCAGAATACAGGTATATGTATATATGGAGTTCAGAATACCAATATATATATATATGGAGTTCAGAATACAGGTATATATGTATATATGGAGTTCAGAATACAGGTATATGTTTTTTATGGAGTTCAGAATACAGGTATATGTATATATTGAGTTCAGAGTACAGGTATAAGATTAAAGTCATTTAAATCTCTTTCTTAGAAGAATAACAACAGCCTCCAAAGCTTCTGATTTTTGTCAGATTTCCTTCAGAAAAGAAAAAAGAATGTTTTTCCTAAATCTTTTAAGTGGCAAATACTCGGGGGGAACTAAAATGTATAAATCCTGATCTGCTCTGCAGATAATCTTTTAAATTCAAGTGAGCAAGTTTTCTAGAACAAAAGTTTGATATTTTCTGTTGAAGACAAATTTTTATTTTAAAAAGTTACAATGTGCGATTTTATAGAGATTTTTTTCATCAATGTTTATAAACAGAGCTCTTAAAAACTATATAATTTAATGAATTGTAATGATATATTATGGATTGGTTTCATGTGAGAGTAAACCAAAAAAGCCAGAATGATTCAAATATCCCCCCCCCCCCCGGAAAATATTATTAGCCCCCTTTGTACCAGGAACCCCCATACCTCTGTTTTCAAGAAAAATTAATTACAATTTTTGTGAGATATGTAAAAAATCTAGTAAAAATATTCTCCAAATTGGATAACATCATGCCATCCAACAGCCAGTTTCAGCTATGTGAGAACCCTCCATATTTGGAGGTTGTTGAAAATAGTTTCGCAAAGAATTCTTTTGAGTTTTATTCATTTCTAGGAAATTATTAAAAAGTCTTAAAACCAAAGGTCAAAACATTTGTATGTATTCTCTTTAATCTTGAACTCTTGAAATATCGATATCCAATGTGGGCACTTTTAAGTTTAAGGACTACTGCTTTATCTCCTCATTTTATTTATCCCTGCAGGGTACTATGACCTAATGATATCGAAGGGGAATATATTACTCCGTAGATCTGTATAAGATATAGTTTAATATCACAACACAACAATTCTGACTTCAGAGCTGGGAACTTTAGAATGAAATATCCTTAATCCCGATCAGTTGATTAATCTGGAGATTAAAAACAAGAGGAGAACAAACATTATTTAATCTAGAGATTAAGAGAAAGATGAGATCAAGCATTAATCCCGATATCAATCATTCAAAAGTTTCCAGCTCAGATTTCAGAACTTTGCACTTAATATTATTTGTTTTTGTAGTTTAGAGAAGGAACAAGAACAAGACAACATGAGGGATTTAATTCTGGACAAATTAGAATCCTTCTGGAGCTCAGATAATAACTCAGGTTGATTAAAATATAAAAATTGATGTTTCCTGAAAACTTTTAAAACCAAAATCTTGTTTTTTCAGAATCTTGTACGGTTTGGAGTTTAGAGGGTTCGGAAACTAATGTATCCTGCGAAAATTATGCATCTGTTCTCTGTTACGCGGATATTACTGACTTCATCAAATACACCAATCCTATCCAGGTTCATATCTTCTTACATCATGAAAAAATCTCAAAAAGAGTTTCATTTCATTTAATTTCTGGCCCAATAATACTGATATTAAAAAAATAGTGAGCTTTTTTGAACGTTTCTCGGGTGTTCAAAAAAACCTTTTCTGAGAAAATGAAATTCAAAGTGGCAAAATATGGCAACATTTTTATTATATCAACTGTTTACCCAGTTTAAATACGGAAAGTTAGAAAAACAACCTAAAGTTCATCCATTAGGGAAATTCGACCAAATTGTAAAAGTGGTAGTTGTTTATTTTTCCCGAGAACCCAGGTCCCAAGGGAGGGTCGTTCCTTCTTAGAGAGTAAGTCATGAAGACCAAAAAACTCCGCAAGAGTTAGATGGAAAAGGGGGAGGATAAATAGGATAATCTGTTAATGTGGATTAAACCTTTATCAAAGTTTTCCCTCGGTTTCCTAAACCTAGAAACTTCCTAACACAATCGATCTTAAACTCCATCCTATTCTATTTTAATTTTTAATACTTTTTCTTTTTCTCGAGAAATAAAAACATCGCTTGAGCGTGTTTACCTTCAAATATATGAAAATTCAGTTTGGCTTTACTAATGTGCAATGTTTAAACAGTACGGTTGACAACTTGAACAATGCACTTTGCATGGGTTTTCTAAATATTATGGTTTTTCCTGCAATTAAACCAATTATAAAAGCTAATTATGCTTTTATCATGAAATAAATTAATATCAAGTTTTTTGAATTTAAAAAGGAATAATTGTGATAACAAGTATAATCATGTACACTGTACCATGAGCAATAGTACATACAAATTCTGCTAACCAGCAGGCAAGCCCCTGGAAGGCTAATCTGTCAGAGAGAACCATAGATAAAGATAGATAGCGCATAAGACGACATTTTTCATATTGAAAGATATAAATGTACAGAGATGTTTTAAAGATATTCCTATTATATAGATTAACTAGGTCGGTTGTGAACATTGGCTGTTCTTATGTCATTGAGTACTTGTGGTGTACATGAGTTCTGTACAGAGAAATTTAAGTTAGTTTAGTCCTTCTCATGTCCTTCTTCAGTTCTCGTCAATATGATATATTGCACAGTGAAATATTGTTGTTCAAATAGTTCCATTCCCGGAGTTATTTTACACTCTATTGTGAAATCCATTAAAACACCAAACCACCCCGCTTATCATTGAAGTACACTTTGACCCCTAGAAGTATCAGTTCGCGGACTGGTGATTTTGCGTACATAAGCTGTCTATGTTTATTTATTTATCTATGGAGAAAACCCTCAGCTTTACTGCATTATTGTGGTGTACTGTATTTGTGTGGTCTGTAGTAGGTCGTATGAACCTTTCTTCTCCTTGTGCAATATGTGTATTATTGTTTGTATATATTTAGAGTTTGAAAGTGTCTGCTGCTCCTGAGAGCTTGAGTTTGGATTGGGATGATAGTGGTGGATGGAGATCTTTTTATACTCTCACTCTTCATCCACAAGAGTCAAACAACAGAAGGTATGCAATTTCCATTCATGTGTTTAAATTAAGGGACTGTAAGGTACCACCATTCACAGATGGCAGTACTCAATTCACAACGGTACCTTTAAAAGCTTTGTCTGGTCAAGTATGAATTAGATTTAATGTTTATAATTAAGAATGCTGAATACTTTCAAATTTGGGTTCTTTAAAAAACTGAATTGCGCATTTCTACAACAAGAAAGCATATAGGAATTATCAGACTTATACACTTTTCAAACTAAAAAAACAAGCAATATCTTCAATAACTTTTCTTAAAGGCTCACTTGAAATTATGCTTACCCTCCCTTTAAAGGGTTTGTCTAATCAAGTTTGGATTAACATGTTTATAATTGAGAAAACCGATTATTTTCAAATGGTTGTTTCTGTACAAAACTGACTTACGCATTTCAACTGCAGGAAAGCAAATAGGAATTATCAGATTTAACCAGTTTTTAAGCTAAAAAAACGACAAAATCTTTCACATTACTGATCAGATAGAGATTTCAAGGGCACTGTACATTTAGCTTTCAGAGAAGCAACAACTAGGTCTTGCTGGTATTCAGAGATACAGGGTGAGAGAGAGAAAATGGCAAACTAGAGAAACTTTAACTAGGGTTGGATATACCCCTGTACACAAATGGAAAAGAAAAAACTACATGTAACAAAAAGGCCTGTATTAATCTTAGCTGGATCCAGATTTTGCTACTGACAGCTTTAAATATACTCCTTAATGACAAGCCTGGTTAGATGTTATTAAGTATCCGAACACATCGGAAAGACGTTAATTCTTTAGATTGAATCTTGTTCTATGTGTAAGCATCAAGTCAGTTTCATGTACAAGAATCCGTCCAAGAGGAACTTACGAGAACCGAGAATTCTTTTGTCGAAAATATCCACTCCTTGCCTAACCTTTCTCATCCCATTTGTCATATAATAGCGGAATTCTGACAATGGATCCTCAGAATTTTAAAAACCCTGCTTAGTAGTGACTTTTATTTGTCCAACCTGTAAGAATATATATAATAAACCTGCATCATCAATCCACAACAAAACTTGTCAGAGAAATTTGACATCTCTGCATGGAACACAAAGTTATTATAATTAATTTGAAAGGAATTGAGTCTTTGTCACAAACTCTGATTTTCTAATCCCTTTATCTTTAGAATCTAATGTCGTTGACTTTTGACATTTCAAACTATGGCTTCTGTAAGATCGAATAATATAAGTTTGAAGTATAAGTATAGGTTTAGGACAATGGGTTCCAAATATATAGGGATTAGAAAATCAGAGTTTGTTGCAAGGACTCAATTCCTTTATGGCCCAAAATATCAAATTAAAGAATAGTATGAAAAAGAAAATTGCAAAGAGCTCGAGCTCTGGAAAATATGCGTAATATTTGGGAGATAAAAAAGCAGAAATATGTGTTTAAATGCTTTTTTTCCCTTCTCTACATACAAAGGATTAGAATGCGTAGATCAACAAGAGAGGAACATAATATGAATGTGTGATCAGCTAAATAGAAGAGAAAAATTTCACTGCTCTTTTAAAAATTTTGTTTTTAAAAAATTTTAATTGAAAAATAAATGTAAAAAAAGAGAGATTTCAATGTTACTGTTGTGAATTGGGCATTGCCATCTTTGCATGTAGAGTCAGTTTAAATTTCCTAATTTTATTAAACTTTTTCTAGTGGTCGAGATTTGGGGAATTTAAGTAGTTTGACCGTTCTAACTCCTCCTGCTGTACTAACTGATCTTACACCTGATACAACATATTCTCTCACAATAACAACAAAAATTAGAAACGTTTTCAGGTAATCTAAAAAATAAATTTACAATTTCTCTATTTCAAGATTCTACTCTGAGGTTTTAAAAATTGAAATCAATGCATGCGTATACCCATTCCAACTAGCAAAACAAACATTAAATGTAGATTTTTGTTAATTTTTCGTATCCAAAAATCATGTTATACAAAAAGAATTGAATGCTTCTAAGAAGAACTTAATTTTTAGAAGTTGACCCCTGAATCATTAAACATATGTTGAATATATATATATGGTATAATCTGTAATGTGAGGTAATTCTGGGCGGAACCGATCAAACTTAAAAACTTTATTGCTGTAAACTTTGAGTTTGATCGGTTCCGCCATACCGCATCACTTTACTATATTTTTTATTTTGGTGCAGAGAGTTTCATATTGGAGAGGTTAGAACTTCATCAAATCTATCCTTTCTTCCTCGACATCTAGTTGGGGTAGGTTTAACTAAACATTCTAAAACTATGATGAAAAACTAGAAGCTTTTTTTTAATAGGTTTTTATAATAAAATTTTAGATAGGAATTAAACCGAAAATTTGTTTAGATAAGTTTGAGTAGTACGGGGTTCACAATACTTGAGTTAACCCTTCTCTCAATACTGATGATAATACTATCTATCTGTATCCTTGTCTATCTTCTCTCGCAAACACTGTAAGTTAAAAAAAGTTTAGAATATTGTAAATTTTATTAATCAAAATATTCTTTAGAAGAATATACACAGACAATGTAGCCCAGCTGGTATTCTGTGTTTCTCTACTCTGCGTTAATGTTCTTCTTGCATTAGCTAGAGATGTTCTTCCTTGTATTGTTCTTGTATCAGGCCTACAGGTAGATTACCTTGTATTGTTCTTGTATCAGGTATGCAGGTATATTACCTTTTATAGTTCTTGTGTCAGGTATACAGGTAGACACCTTGTATTGTTCTTGTGTCAGGTATACAGGTGGATACCTTGTATTGTTCTTGTGTCAGGTATACAGGTAGATACCTTGTACTGTTATGTGTCAGGTATACAGGTAAATACCTTGTATTGTTCTTGTGTCAGGTATACAGGTATATACCTTGTACTGTTCTTGTGTCAGGTATACAGGTAGATACCTTTTATTGTTCTTGTGTCAGGTATACAGGTAGATACCTTGTATTGTTCTTGTGTCAGGTATACAGGTAGATACCTTTTATTGTTCTTGTGTCAGGTATACAGGTAGATACCTTGTATTGTTCTTGTGTCAGGTATACAGGTAGATACCTTGTACTGTTCATGTGTCAGGTATACAGGTAGATACCTTGTATTGTTCTTGTGTCAGGTATACAGGTGGATACCTTGTACTGTTCTTGTGTCAGGTGTACAGGTAGATACCTTGAACTGTTCTTGTGTCAGGTATACAGGTAGATACCTTGTGTGATTGTCCAGTTGAGTATTGATATTTAAAACCACTTACTTTAAATATGCTGATTCTTAACAGGAATTCAATATTCAAGAGAAGTAAGATCGATTTCTTAAAAATGAAAAAACTCTTTTTATTCACAAGAAATGGTTTTATAAATCTTTAATCTTAAAGCAACATATCGTTAATAATTTAAAATAAAATATATTTTTAGGTTTCGTATTTAGTGGCGTTCACATCAAATTTCCTGGAGAGTCTTATAATTCTACATAAGGAAGATATTTATGCAAACAAACTGTCGAATTCAAAATGTATTGTACAAATACAGATATTTAAATCTTAAACCTATTTTCTAAATTTACATAAATATTTCTAGTTGGTGGATTCAGTTCTTCTTCCTTCTTTAGAGAAATCTTTAGTGGTTCTACTCATGGGTATGATGGGAGGGGGGAGTATATATATCAATAACAATCCTGAGGTCAAGAGAAAAAATTAATGCTAAAAAAGTATGAAATTAATTTTCATGGGAATAATGCACAAAATATAACTAAAGAAATAAAAATAAATCAACATTTAAATAAATAAATGATAAAAAATACAAATTTCCATCTTAATGTGCAGTGTAAAATTATTTAAACCTAGCTCTAAAGAGATTTGAAAATTTTTCTTCTTTTAAAAATCTATCAAATCCATCTTGTATATGTGAACTGAGAAAGAGCTTTAAATAATCCAACCTTTCAAGGAATAATCGCAGATTAGCGGGAATATTCCAAAATCCTCTCACACATATTTTCTTTTGGAAGATGAGGGGAGAGAAAAGCAGAATTCGCACTTAACAAGATTTCTTTTAGGCCTGGTTCCCTCGTGTATATACGCTGGACTAACAATACCCTTTCTTTACACAGATATGCTTCCACCTTTTCCTAAAATGTGAGTAAGTTTAATTTCTTCAGGATTATCTATTTATATTAAGTAGTAATCTCTTTTTGTTGTATGACCGATCATAACTCTTGAACCACTTAACCGATTGCCCCAAATTTTGATTGGGGAACTCGGTAGAACCACGACAATGTTCTTAGCGTGGTTTTAAGGGGGTACAACTTTTATAGGGAAAAATAGCTAAAATCGTAATTTAAGACCAAGCGTGGGTAAACGGTGGGAGTAACTTGAACTAACCTGGGAAACGCTAGGTTACTGCAAGCTATAGTAGTATATATTTATATAATATAAACCAGTGATCTCTGCTTGAGGCAAATCGGTGAAGGGGTTCCTAAGTTATGATCAGACTTACAAACAAACAAACAGACAAGCCAAAGATTACTACTTTACACAGATTTAAAGATAGATATTAGATATACAGGGTCACCCACAAAGGATGAAGCTTTAAAGACTACCTGAAATTCTTAAAATATGACGATCTCAAGTTTAAATTGAGAATTCTGAATTGAATTAAGTCTTTAAAAGAGATATTTAATGATTTCACGAAATACGAAACAATTTAACAGCTGCAGGGAATCATGAATATTAGAAAACAGAGAGTATAAGTTTCGTAGAGTCGTCTCTGATGTCTTATCTTTCTTGGGTAACCCTGTTTATGATTGATTTACAGTATATCCTCTGTACATTTATGAATTAAAGAAGTTTTGGTTTATTCTCGCGATAAACAATTTTTGTTGGCTGCAAGTAAACATTCATAGTATTTTGTTTGCTGGTTTGTTGTATGGTTGTTTAATTGTCAGAAATATGTGCGCAGATTAAGGGCTCACACAAACATTTTTATTTAAAAATCCTAAATTCACCAAGACAATTAAAAATTAGCGAAATTATTGCATTTTTAAATTCAAATGTGATACGGAAAAAATTGTCCCATTTGAAGAAAACTGATGAACGGTTACCGTTACCAGTTTAAAGATGGCACTGAGCACCCTGATTACCTCTCAATCTTATTCAGCTTAAAGTTTAAAGGCTCTGGAGGAAATTAAATTTTGATTTATCCATTGAGTGGGGGCGGGGGAGGAGGTGTTATCCTGTTCTTTATTCTACGAAGCTGAAACTGTCAAATGACATTATTAAATCATGGTTAGTTACCTAGACTCTGACAGTAACTCTATAGGGGAGGTCTATCATCCAAATAAATGTTGATAGTGATTGAAATTAATAGAGAATAAGAATGAGTTGATCTCTGATTCACTGAGATACTTTTGGCCATTTTGGGTAATTTTTGTCGCTAAACAAAATTCGACATTAGTTTAAAGTGTTTGTTTCTATAAAACTTTTAATCCTGTGTATCGTAAAATAATAATATGACAATAGCTTTCAACAAGCATATAATTTAAGAGTCATTTTTTCAAAACAAAAACAAGTTTAAACTTATAATGTCTTTGTTAAGCTTATCGAATATTCCTTTGTTTTACCAGCCTTCTCTAGTCTATATATATATTGTAAATAAATAATATCGAAGTGATGAAATTAAAATAAAATTTAATAAGTGAAAGAATGAAAATATCTCTGATGTGTTTAGGTGTTGGTTGAACCTTGACTCTCCGACCAGTTTAGTAAGTTTAGTTCCTTGTATCCTATTAACCATATCATCAACCTGTTGTACTCTAACAAGTATTCTAACAGCTACAGATACAGGAACCAGACCTATTTCTGCATCAATTTACAGCAGAGCACAGTAAGTACTATACAACTTTTACACCTTTGCTTAATTACAAAATAAGAATAGGTTAAAAAATTTTATTTAAAGAGTTAAGCAACGTATATCTAATGTATACCTAATGTATGTACCTAATGTACTGCAGGCAAACGATGAAATTAGAATTATGTTAAAAAATAGGGGTTCGAAAGAGATGGCTTACAACATGAGATTGAGTAGGACACAAAAATAGAAAATAATAGAATAGAATAAATGTACCTTTTCCATTATTTGTCTCTGTTTACTGTGTATATTATATATTATGCATGTATTGCCAGGCCCGTAGCTAGGAATTTCTAAACAGGGGGGGGGGCACAAAAGTAAAAAAATAGCCTAAATAGATAAGTAATGGGCACGCCGCAGGCAAAAAAAACCTGAAAAACTCAATATAAGGGTAAAATTTATGAATGTAGTCTTAAAAACTAGATTTTTAACTTGTCACACATTATAGTTTATTAAGATAGATATTTTGCCTGTTTTCGTTCTCTTAATTCCTATTGAATAATTGAGAAGCTGTTTGCATCAAAACAAACAAAAAAACTGGAGGTATAAAATGTAGAGATTTGAGTTAAACTATAAATAAATGTAGTATCTAAGTAAATTTTTGAATCACAAATAATCAATACTTATTCTTATTAATACAGGGAAAGTAAATGACGTAAACTCCTGTAAAGATCAAAAGCTCGAGCATGAAAATCTTCATTTTTCTCAAAGCTAAAATTCGAAAAAAACACCCCTACAATCTTGAGGATGAGTACAAACAGCTTCTCCTTTTCCTGGCGATGCTTTGTCTATAATTTAAATTTGTCTACATATTACTTTTTAGTTTTTGCTGTACGATGGTTCATTAGAATCATTAATCTAATAAAAAAAGGGAAAAGGAGAAGTCTCACAAAATACAAAAAAAATTCATTTCTCAAGAAAGGATAGAAATAAAAATCCCCAAATAATTTATTTCAGAAAGCACTCAATTTTTTTTAATGTGAAGAAAAAATTATCCTTTACACATAATGTTGTGGCCAATTTTCTCCCCTCTTTTCCTTATTTCTTTCTTTTTTCGTTTCCTTCTTTTCTTTTTTTTTCTTTTCCTCTTTTTTGTCTCTGAAAGTGTGCCCCCCTTCGGGGGTGAAAGGGGGGGAGCACGTGCCCCTGTGCCCCCCTAGCTACGGACCTGTGTATTGCGTATAAATAAACAATGAACCTATTATTGATACAATTTATATATTTTGTCTATACAGTGTTAGATAGTAATGGTTTTATATTAGCCGTCAACGTCTAGAAAAATTAATGAAATTCTGTGGACATGTTTGCGGCAAAATGTATTTGAAAAATTGAAATACTAAAAACTTCCGTGTAAAAGTCGTCGATTGAAAATAACGTTAAACACATTTTATTTTAGAACTCTAAGGAGAACCCGTTACATAGTTTTGAGTCAAACAGTTCTTCTTTTCATTTCCTGGATATTTGGCTTCTTAGCAGCACATATCCAATCAACTATACTTGGAGTTGGGTTCTTACTTCTTAGGTAAATCATTTTTATTGTTGTCCATCCCATTGGAATTGAGTCTTTGCCACAAGCAAAAATGTTCTAATCCATATTTGCATGCAAACTGATGGTGTTAAAATCTTTAATAATTCAAACTTAGAATATTTAAGCTAACAGAATTCATAATTTGAAATACCTAAGGTCTTTGACTTCATGGGTTTTTAAAGATATAGGGATTAGAAGATAAGAGTTTGTGGCAAAAACTCAATTCATTTTCATTTTAATAATTTTAACTAACCCATATTATGGAATAACATGACGTTGTCTAACTTTGAAAAAAGTGTTACAAGGCATAACAAAATAACAAAATATATTTGAAAACACAGAAACAACGGCCGAACGAAAAAAAGGTGTGGGTTGATGAAGTAATGGCGAGTTGTGACGTCATTTGTGGTGCGGACCAAAAAATGGAGTGGTGTGCCTTCCCTCGCTCACCAGGCTTAATGTTTTATTACTGTAACTTATTATGGATGGAGTGATTCCTTTTTATTATTTATTACTGCTAACCTAATAAGTATTCATTATTATGACTAGCTATAAAACTAGCTTTAAACAATAAATATGTAACTATCCTTTTCCGTTTTTTTTAGAATTGGGGGGATATATTCCCACAATCTCTTTTTTTGGAGGTTTTTAAATATTTTCTCCTGGAACACTTAATTTTATGCATTTTTGTTATATTTCATAATAAATATATACTTACTTACTTTATTCCAACTTCTCATAAATTCTTTAAGTTGCAACTGGCTCTGAATATGTTTCTGCTTTTCAATGTTTTATAAAGTGAATCTCTACTTTCTGGTATTTATGACAACCTACTGAGATTAAATCCCTATTTCTGGTATTTCTTAATGCTTATCTACTAAGAGTAGATCCCTGATTTCTGGTATTTATTAATAATAACCTACTAAGAGTATGCCCTATATCTGGTTTGGTTACTGCCAGTTTCTCTTTTATAAAAAAGAATTGGACCACATTCATACTTTCCTGTGTTTTTTAAAACAATTTTATTTTTATTTTTACCAATAAAACTTGAATCAGCTCTATTCAATATGATGGATTAGTAGAGTGCTTTAAATCTTCCCATCTGGTTTGATATAACAGTTGCATGATTCTGGGGATAAATTCAAATATCAAGGTCTATACTTGGTAGTTCCCCCTCTACCAATCTAATATTTATTATCTTAATCTGTTTACTTGTATTTATTATTGATTATTCTTTTTAAGCTGTTAAATATTTAGAAAATGTTCATGAATCTTTTTTTTTTATTTACATTCAGGTTAATGAATATTTGTTTTTCAGTCTGTTGCTTGGAATTGTAACCTTAGGAGTCCGCTGTACCTTTGACACACAGGTTATTACAACCTATTTAAAAAAAGTTATCTAGTTCCTCTTATCGTCATATTTATTATTCATTATTTTTTATTATATATTGGGTATCTTGATGTATCTAACAATTTTTTGTTGCCTTTTTCAAATAAATAATTTTATAATCTTGAAGGTCCTTGATCGAGTTAAGAGGGGATATATGAACTTTGATTCTGGTCGGTATGTGTACGAAGCAGGTAGCAATATAAATAGCAGGAAGACCACATTTAACTCCCCAAAGTTGTCAAAGAAGAAAAACAAAAGTAAATCTTCTGTCGACATGTTAAATGAAGAAAATGTGCCAGATAAAGTTGGAGGAAAAGGTCCAGTAATTGTATTGGATCAGAAGAGGCGAGTGCGCAGAGTACGTGCTGGTCAGCCTGAGGAGATAAACACAGTGGGAGAAATGCTCGTTATAAGCATGGAGCAGACTTCAAGTAAGTGCTGTAATCCCTCTCCATTTCATGATTTGAGATAAAAAGCTATAAATTCCGAAAGTTATGAGATGTATAAAGGAATTGAGTTTTTGCCACAAACTTAAACTTTCTAATCCCTATATCTCTACAACCAAATGGATTAAACCTTTGTTATTTCAAACTTAGATTGTTTGATCTAGCAGAATTCATAGTTTGAAATATTTAAAGTCTACGACATTAGCTTTAAAAGATTATTAGAAAATCAGAGTTTGTGGCAAAAACTCAGTTCCTTTGGTCAAACACCAATGAGTTAATCTTTTGAGTCAGCTTATAGCTTCTAAGCTTAAGTAATCAAAACATATTAAAGTCATCCTGATTTGGCACGATCAACTTTTTAATCATAAATAATTACTTAAGATTAGCATTAATATACATAAATCTTTTAGAAATTTTTTATTCAATTTCCACCCCAAACATCCAACTTTTTACATCAAACAACCTGAATACATATTTGGGTATCTATATCTGAGTCTAAACTGTTCTGCTTTTACTGCTTTTGTCCTATTTTTTTTTCATTGATAGTCAATATTATTTCAGTTGACAAATAAACCTTTCAATTTACAATTTTTGTACACTTTTCGTATACTTATAGAATGTAAGGGTTTTAAAATTAATATCATCATCAAATCATAAACAATCTACAATCTACATTGTTAAAAATATAAAACAAATATTGGTCGGTTAACGTTTAAAAGTATAATTTAAAAGTTTTTCTTTAAAAAATACGGAAACCCCACCATTTAAGGTTTTTACATTTTCATATTTTTCTAAGAAATTTCATTTTTGTTTTGTTTTAGAATTGGGTAAAAATATCCCTTCAACCACCTTCTTTAATATATTTTCTGATAAAATATTTGTTTTGGTTCAAAGAATAATTATCTACTTACTTGCCAGATGTTGAGGAAGTGTACCAGGAGCTCAACACTAGTCCACCAGCCCTTTCCACCTTCAGATCTTACAGTGTAAGCTTATTTTTATATGTGAATAAAACTTCAGATTTAAAGAAACAAAACAAAGGAAATGAGGTTAAGCCACAAAATAAAATTTTCTAATTTCCATATCTTTGATAACCGATGTCGTAGACCTTTGACATTTTAAACCGCAAATTCTAGTTAATCTAATAGAGTTTCTAATATAAAAGGTTTATACTTTCAGGTTACAAAGGTAAAGGGATTAGAAAATTTAAGTTTCAGTCAATACCTCAATGCCTGTGTCTAGTTCAATAAATCTAAGAGAAAAACTTTATTTGAGAATAATTATAAAACTTCAACTCCAGTTCTTTTATTCCTACCATGGTCAAATCTATATATAAATTTGGCTTGTCTGTTTGTCTGTTTGTCTGTTTGTTTGTTTGTTTGTATCCAATAAACGTCAAAACGGCTGAACCGATCGGGCCCAAATTTTTTGTGGGACATCTAGGGACTCCAGGGAAGGTTAATGAATCATCAAAATTTCAAATATTTGTCTCCATCAAAATTCGATCGTCATTAAATTTTTAAAAATTTTGAAAATCCGCGAAATTTTTTGTGAAAATCCGCGAATTATTTTTGTTTTGTTTTACGATGTACACAAAGAGAACATGTTCACAATTAATTTAGAAGATGGGCGCGCAGCGCCCTCTAAGGCTAGAAAGAAGGGCGCGAAGCGCCTTGAATTTCTAGTAATAGATATATTTTTATCTAAAATAATTTGTCTAAAGATAAATAAAGATTATGTTGTTGTAAACATGAGTATTCATTCAAGATCAGTCTTTTCAATTCGTTTATCTCGCTCTATTCAAAACCATGGTTTAACAAATTACTAATTTGACATTTCGTTTTTTTTCTTAAAGGAGTTGAGTCTTTGTTACAAACTGTGATTTTCTGATCCTTTATATTTTCAACTAATTGTTATTTGGTATTTCAAACTATGAATTTTGTTTGCACTGTGAGATTGAAAAGATATAAGGAATAGAAAATTTGAGTTTGTGACGAAGAAGCAATTTTTTTCCAAACTAATTCAGATATTTACGTTTTTGTAAACCAAAAAAAGCATTGAAATCACTGGTAAAATGTCATTTTATTTAAAAGAAATAGTTCTTTGTCTTAAATCGAAAGATTTTAAAATAAAAAAAAATTGACGATGTCACCAGTTAGATTCTTTTTTAATTCCTGAATTACAGAACAAAATTTTAGTTTTTTAAAATGTTTAAAATTTTAAAAATAATTTCCTGCAGTATATTTATTTACTAGTGCAAACAAGATTATACATATTCGATGGAATAGTTTAATATGTGAAATATACATATGTTTTGGGCCAAATTTGTAAAGCTGTTCTTAGAAATATCTATTATTTCAAAAACAGTTTTAGATAAAATTATTGTAGGTTCGTAACTCCCCTGAGTTTCCTTCTCCTACCACCTGCTCAATATCCACTATATACCATTCTAACTCTACACCTGAACCACCTGGAGCTATCTCTCCAACCTCTCCTTCCTCCCCTAGACCAAGCACTGCTCCTGATAGAGTATATTCTGGTACGCGGAGGATTCGACCTTGGACATCTTTACCTCATACTCCTGATACAGAGGATTCTCTTACATCACATTAGAATTTAAGATGAAGTTATGAATAATGTGGTTCCTTGATAAATGTAGCAAAACAAAAAACAAAAATCTATGCTAGAAAACGATTGGTTACTGCATATTAGATTAAAAATTTTAATTTCTCAAAAAAGTACAGTTGTGGAAGACGATGCATTTTTTGTCATTTCCCCCTTGGAGTACAGATTTACATTCTGTAAGCACAAATACATGTTTTTAATATTTTTCAATTGAGAGAATGCCACACCTTCATTGTTCACATTTAGTCAATGCTTTGTAAAAATTAAATACAAGATCTAATTGTTTATTTCTATAAGTGCAATTCTTGGCTAACATGTCAAATTCAAAAATTCAAACAAGGTTAATGTTATTCTGATGCTTGAAAATGTCCAATTTACAATTTGAAAAAAGTCAAATAAAAAGAATTCAGAGGATATTTTTCAAATTAATTGGAATTTGTGCATCGCTTTCTTCTCATAGAAAAGATGATTTTTTTGTTATCTCTGTACTGCCAGGATTTGTTTTAGGCTTAGGGCTTAGAATAATTTATATCTTTAACAAAAGGTAAATAACCATAAACTTAAAATTATTTTTTTGTGCCAATTTCTCTAGTCAATACAGGACAAACTAAATACCAAAGGCCCAATCTTTACAATTAAAGGAAAACGATAATTGATAAAGGTGTTAGGCTTAAATTGTATTATCATATATGTTTTTTTATTCCTTTATTACTTCAAAATTAATTTACAATAAACCTGCTTTATAAATTTGATGAGTATTTAATTATAAGTATCTTTACTATACTTAAGTATCATTTGAACTTATTGATCATAAACAGAGTTACCAGAAAGGGATGAGACTTGTAAAGACTTAGAGGCGTATATCAAATAATTCTGCAAAAAAAAACACTTTTAAAGTTGCAGGGAACTATGAATATAAGGGAACAGATAGTAAAAATTCCCTACACCCGTCTCTTTAGTCTTATCCTTTGTGGGCTACACTGTATCATTGTTGTTCTTGTATGAGAGATTATCCAGAAAATTGCTAGAAATGATCAAAACATCGACATGGGCAATGAATAATGAATATAGTAACCGGCATTTTCACGGACTTGAGGGAAAAATTTCAAGAATGAAAACCATATTAACGAAGTTTTAAGAAAATGATTTTACAACCCTATGGAATTGATAAGGAATAATTATTTCGTAAACTTTTTTTAGTGTGTCACACCTTGGTTTGTGTAGAATGTACGATGTTATACATAGAATATAGATGTTAACATGATTCGGTTAAGAAAGGTCGCGCCATTCTTTTTGTGATAAAATAGTTTAATAATTAAAACTGTTAATCTTCTTATTTATATCCAACTAATAATTTTAATTGATCTAACGTTTGACTTAAGTGAGCTGTTAATAGTCAATTGGAACATTAGCGCATATGAACTAAGTATAAATTCATTCTTTTCAAATGAACTAAATAAAAGATATATATTCTTTCTCAATTTCTTCTCCAAATCCGTCCTTGCTCAGTTTAACCTTTCCATCCGTCCTTGCTCAGCTTCTCCTTTTAATCTACCCTTACTCAGTTTCTCCTCTGAATCCGTCCTTGTTTCTCAGTTTTAGTTTCTCAGCTAGGATGAATTAAGAATACAAACTAAGGAAGATCAGATTTGGAAGAGAAACTTAGGAAGAAAAGAGTTTGAACGGATCGAGAGGAGACTCTGAGCAAGGCTGGATTGAGAGGAGAAACTGCTCAAGGATTGATTGAGAGATATAACTGATCAAGGAGGGATCGAGAAGAGAAACTAAGCTGTGAACCGCTGCAGAAGGATGAATTGAGAGGAGAAAATTAGCAAGGAGAGATTGAGAGGAGAAACTAAGAAGTAACTAGGGATTGAAAGAAGAAACTAAAAGATGGATGGAGAGGACTGAGCGAGGATGGGTTAGGAGGAGAAACTGAGAAAGAACATATTTTTTCATTTAGTTCATTTGCACAAATGTTCAAATCGAAACATGTCAATTCGGCGACCCCTCTTAAATAAAGTTTTTATACTATGGCACAAAGAGACGGCTTCAAAATTGGGGTTTGGTAAGTAAACGATCAAGATAACATGAAAATAACCTATTCATGTGATTCATGTAGTCATTTTGAAAATACTTTTTCAAAACATTTGCATTTTTTTTGGATTTGCACACCTAGTCTTGAGTATTTCAAAACATTTGCATGGACGGTTTTTCTTGGATTTGCACACCTAGTCTTGAGTATTTCAAAACATTTGCATGGACGGTTTTTCTTGGATTTGCACACCTAGTCTTGAGTATTTCAAAATATTTGCATGGATGGTTTTTTTTGGATTTGCACACCTAGTCTTGAGTATTTCAAAATATTTGCATGGACGGTTTTTCTTGGATTTGCACACCTAGTCTTGAGTATTTCAAAATATTTGCATGGACGGTTTTTCTTGGATTTGCACACCTAGTCTTGAGTATTTCAAAACATTTGCATGGACGGTTTTTCTTGGATTTGCACACCTAGTCTTGAGTATTTCAAAATGCTTTTTCTTTGCCTCTAACCATTTTTTGAAGTAAATTATGATTAGGAAGTACTGTGAATATTAAGTGACTTCAAAGTTGAAGACGACAATAAATAAAAAGCTTTCATTTGATACTTATAATTAAGGTTTCAATCAAGAAAATCGCTGAACCAGAACCTTTCAACTGTTATCGATCCTCTCAATAGCGAAAAATAATATGGGATTAGGCATAGAATTTAACTCCAGCATTTTCTTGTAGTTTTTAAAACAATACATATACTTATTGTTTTTAAGTAGTTTCTAGAGATTAAATCATATTATCATATATTTCTTGCCGTTAAAACACTGGATATCGAAGAGGAATTAGATAGTTATCCGTAATTCTCATCGAGATATTAGTAATAGAGGGGGCATCTGGAATTTTAGACTTCTTGTTGTACAGCCACTGTACACAATGACCCGATCAGAAATTCTACCTGGGGGATCAAAATTCGTAGATCAGTGTTTGAAGACATTATTGTTTGAAAGTGAAGCCTACAATATTCACACAACCCATTCTAAATATAGAGGGAACTGGATCATTTCTGACTCTGAGTATTTTGCTATCTTTGTTTCTATAACAATTTTTGTCAAAATGTTCACTGCATATAAAAATTGGGTGTTTTGTTTTCCAGATAACTTGTTCTATCCACTCTTTTCGTATGTTATGAAAAATTTCTGAACCCGAAACATCGTTGTTTACACAATTTTTGACACTAAAATATCTCATTGTTGAAAAATATTAAAATTAACTGTCCACACAATACCGTAAAAAAAGATGTACTTAGGATTAAACCCACTGTACTCTATGATACCAACTCAATCATAAGGAAACATTTTTCGACAAAATTCACTGTACGGTATAAACCTAGCCAGGCAAAATTAGGAGAGTTATATGCCCGCCCCCTGGTAATTCTGCATAAGATGTAGATCAATGCTTGATCCCGAGATTCTGAAACAAACGTCCTGACTTCCATGACTTTCCATGACATTAACTTTTTGTACCTTGTTAAGGTACAAAACAATTGAACGCGACTAAGGTTTAAAACATTTTCTAGTTTTAGAATTCTTAAACCATCTGTTACAACAGTTGTCTAGTCTTATATTGGTCTCATAAAGGACTCATTTACTTTTGCCATAATACTTTTGCCACAAATACATTTGCCATAATACTTTTGCCACAAATACATTTGCCATAATTACACTTGCCATAATACGTTTGCAATAAGTAACAGTGGCCAAAAGTTACACTTGCCATAATTAAAATAAAATTTAGTTAGAATTAACAAACAAATATTATACTTATGACAGTACTCCTAGGTTCATAGAATGCTTTGGGGACGAGATCAACCCAGACGTACCAGTTCAACATCAAATTTTGAGTCGGAAAATAGTCCTAACTCTATTAAACTCTCTCTGGCAACAGATGACGGAGACTCATCGTCGCCTGGAAAGAACAGGGGGTAGTTCCATCGGTTGGCGAGATTGTCCTCTTCAAGAATGAACCCATATACCGACATGAAATCTCAGCTGCCAGAAAGAACAGAGACATAGTTGGTGCTACAGTCAACTAACGGAGAGAAGTAGGAGGACGCAGCATCACCGTCAACAGACACCTGAACCAGCTCATAGGTGTAGAGAAACCACAGCCTCAGGAGCAGATTCGAGGCCTCACAGAAGACAGAGCAGCGGAGACCCTTACTAAAATATATCGTTTTACGTTTATGTTTGCAACTACTGTGTCCGAGTTTAAGGGACTGTAAATGAAAAATGAAAGGGGGTTTAGGATGTGAACTGAGAATCTCAAGTGTTGAATGATACATATCAGACATCTATCTGATGTTCCTGTCTTGTAAAATTGATATAAAACTGAGTCAAAATTATGCGAAAATTCATGTATATACAATTTTGTATAAAAGTAGTCAGATCATATTCAGCAAATACGTATGTGATACAGACGGAAATCCCGTGACAAGTATACTGCACTGCCATTGGCTGATGTTCTGGTGAAGTAATACGGACTATACAGAATATAATATATCTATTTAGTATTTACAATGCAGAATGCAAAATAAAAAACTATAATAGGAGCAAACCTGAGATTCTCAGGCTCCTGGACATCGTCGTTTTCAGATTGGTCTGAAGAATTCTGTGAACTTCATAAAAACCACATTCTCTTAAAATTAAAATTATATTTCCGATTTTATATATATTTTTACAGAATTGTTGAATTGTAAAAATGTGAGATAAATACCTAATTATTACAATCAAGACGTGCAAGGTCATCCCATGTGCTCTAAAGTAGCTAAAAATCCTGCTCCTTCAAGTCGACCACCTAATCTGGCCCATGGGCCGGTGAACCCGGTAGTTTTCCCTCTTCTCTAAGAGATCCATGCAAAGGGGAGGGCCGGGTAGGGGGGCTAAAAAATGTGTAGTATATCTGGACTAGATGAATAAAGAAGGCTGCATAGCCGATACCAGCGTCTTTCCATCTCCTAGCGGCTTATTGAACTTGCAACTGCAAGGCGTAAAGTTCAAACCCTCAGTGTCTACAATGTCTACTCTCTAAAATTAGTTCACGAGAGATTGTCCAAAACCATTCCTGTGGCCGAATTTAAAGAATTTGAGCGGCGGTTTAAATTTAAGCCGCGGCTTAAATATGGTTGTTTCCACTTAAAATTGTATCAAATGTTTCAAAATTTAAGCCGGCGCTTAATTTAAACCGGGTTTTTGCAGATTTAAACCGCGGCTCGAATTCTTTAAATTCCATCTCCGTTTTCTTCATAAGTAAAACTGTTCTACAAATTATATTGAAGTTATAAAATAAGACTTTTGGTTTGCCATAATACTTGAGAAGTACTTTTTCGTGGCAGGCAAGTAGTTAAGTGGATTAGGTAAACAAATTAATTATACAAATATAAAACTAAACAATCAAATTATTCAAACTTACATTCTTCAAACATTTTATCACAACCCTTCAGATTTAACAAGAATTTTAAATGAAGGAATTTTGGCTATGTTGACTTTCATTTAAAATTTAACAATTTAAAAACGTTCATGTTGGAGAGGAATTTAGTCTTTTCCACAAACTAAGTTTTTCTTATCCTAATATCATTGCAACCTGATGGTGTAAACCTTTGATACTTCAAACTTAGATTTTTTGATCTACCATAATTAATATCTAAGGTCAACAATATT